ATCTTCTGGCATATTTTCTGGCATTCTATCTGGCAAATCTTCTGGCATTCTATCTGGCATATCTTCTGTCATATTATCTGGCATTCTATCTGGCATATCTTCTGGCATATATTCTGACATATCTTCTGGCATTCTATCTGGCATTCTATTTGGCATTCTATCTGTCATATCTTCTGGCATATCTTCTGACATTCTTTCTGACATTCTTTCTAACTTTCTTCTGCACATTCTTTGTCCCATATCTTCCTACATGAGGTCCGGCAGGGAACACTTGGCGTGGATACTCGCGGTTGAGGTCCGGCAGGGAACACTGGCCGTGGATGGTCGTGGTTGAGGTCCGGCAGGGAACACTGGGCGTGGATGGTCGTGGTTGAGGTCCGGCAGGGAACACTGGGCGTGTATGGTCGTGGTTGAGGTCCGGCAGGGAACACTGGGCGTGGATGGTCGTGGTTGAGGTCCGGCAGGGAACACTGGGCGTGGATGGTCGTGGTTGAGGTCCGGCAGAGAACACTGTGGATCGCGGGTCGCAGTTGAGCAAGGACGACGAGGACGACGAAGAGGACGAGGAGGAGGAGGAGAGGAGGACGAGGCAGGAGGAGGCGGAGGAGGAGAAGGAGGAGGAGGAGAAGGAGGAGGAGGCAACTGACATAAAATCTAACAACCCTCACCTGGCAGGTGGGGAAAAAACACATTTTGAGTGGAAACCCATCTTCCAACCCCTATCTGACAAGTTCCATGGTAGTTTACTGGAAGGCAACCTATTTTGATCCTTTTATCTGGATGCTGGATATATCCACCATAAATCCAGCACCGTCCAGGAGATTTGCGGCCCGCCAACTGCGAAGCCGTGGATTTCAACCTTGGAACTCGTTGGAATCAGCACCTCGCCACAGGAATGATGCTGAAACGCGGGTTATTTCTGGACCCTAAATTCATGGTCGCGTGGTGATTTATATATATATAATATAGTTATTTATTGGCAATCATGTAGAAGCAAAAACAAATGTGTTTGTAGTAGGGTCATGCAGTATCTGAATGTGTCAGATTTAAGTCCGCAGTCCCATTTCAGCTGTAGAGAATTTCGAGGCATGCCCATATGTGATATTGTTGATCGGGTTTGGCCCCTCCCGGCCTCCCTCCGGGCCCCTCCCTCGACTCGATGATAAAAGGTATTTCCGTTTCTTCGTCTTATGGGGGGAATTGTAACCGTTTTATTTGAGTTCTTTTTGGCAGCGCGACTTCTTCCACCGTTACCAGAGGACTGAGAAATTGCTGGGTTGTTCTTAGAATCAGGCGAAAACAGGCAAGCAAGGTGATGCAAACCAGACATACGATCGGAAGCACACACTGACACGTGTAATTCCGTGTGATTAAGAATTAAGACTAAGACATATTCTTATTTTAAGGCAAATTCTTATTAAGACATTGTGCACCTATTTGACAGTGTTTGTGTGACGTTTGAAATTCAATGGGTGTTACTCCTGTGGTTCACCAAGTAGAAACATGTGTTTTCATGATGGCGTCATGCTGTGGCATATGAACTGCTGATGTGAAGTGTTGCTAGTCCCATGCCAAGCTAAATTCATCCCAATGGGACAGCCATGGAAAGCAGCAAACCGACCATGGACCCTCACAGCATGGCGTTGCAAGATGATTTGTCGATTTTCACAATTGGCCCAGATATATCAAAGATTGCAACTGCAAATCCTGATTTTTGATAATAGGATGTTTGATATATCAATAGGATTATCTATTGATTATAACTATTACTAGAAATCATATTACCCATGATCCATGAAGTGTGTCAATAGATAATAGGATGGGATGTCCATCTCCAAATTTCCGAACTACATGGCGATCATTTGTCGGTTTTACCACCGGACAAATCCACCGGCACTCCACCGGCATCAGGCCATGGGAGCGGACCTCCCGTCGGTTTCAGTGAAAAACAAACGATGGCTGCGAGGGAGGGTTTCATGTGGGCTGCCTCCATAGATCCTCCATAGCTGCAAAAGATTATACATAAATACATACATACATACATGCATACATGCATACATGCATACATGCATACATGCATACATACATTTACATACATACATACATACATACATACATACATACATACATACATACATACATACATACATACATACATACATACATTTACATACATTTACATTCATTTACATACATTTACATACATTTACATACATTTACATACATACATTTACATACGTTTACATTTACATACATTTACATACATTTACATACATACATACATTTACATTTACATTTACATTTACATACACTTACATACATTTACACACATTTACATACATTTACATACATGCATACATGCATACATGCATACATGCATACATGCATACATACATTTACATACATACATACATACATACATACATACATACATACATACATACATACATTTACATACATTTACATACATTTACATACATTTACATACATTTACATACATTTACATACATTTACATACATTTACACACATTTACACACATTTACACACATTTTACATACATTTACATACATTTACACACATTTACATACATTTACATACATTTACATTTACATTTACATATACATACATATTTACATTTACATTTACATACATTTACATACATACATACATTCATATTTACATACATATTCACATTTATATTCACATACATTTACATACATGCATACATTCATGCATACATTTACATACACATACATACATTTACACATTTACATACATACATATATACATACATACATACATACATACATTTACACACATTTACATACATACATACATTTACATGCATTTACATTTACATTTACATATACATTTACATTTACATTTATATACATACATACATACATACATGTACATACATTTACATTCATTTACATTCATTTACATTCAGTTACAGACATACATTTACATACATTTACATACATTTACATACATTTACATACATTTACATACATTGACATACATTTACATACATTTACATACATTTACATACATTTACATACATACATACATTTACATACATTGACATACATTTACATTTACATACACATACATACATTTACATACATTTACATACATACACACATACATACATTTACATGTGCATACATACATTTACATAAACATACATTTACATACATTTACATACATTTATATGCATACATTTACATACATTTACATACATTTACATTCATTTACATTCATTTACATTCATTTACATTCATTTACATACATACATTTACATACGTTTACATTTACATACATACATACATACATACATTTACATTTAAATTTAAATTTACATTTACATTTACATACACTTACATACATTTACATACATTTACATACATTTACATACACTTACATACATTTACATACATTTACATACATTTACATACATTTACATACATTTACATACATTTACATACATTTACATACATTTACATACATTTACATTCATTTACATACATTTACATACATTTACATACATTTACATACATTTACATACATACATACATACATTTACATACACAAACAAACATACATACATACATACAAACTTTCACACATTTACATACATACATACATTTACATTTACATTTACATTTACATTTACATACATGCATACATACATTTACATTCATGTACATTCATTTACATACATACATTTACATACATTTACATACATTTACATACATTTACATACATACATACATACATTTACATTTACATTTACATTTACATACATACATACATATATAGAGACATGCATACGTACATACATACATGCATGCATACATACATACATGCATACATACATACATATACATACATACATACATACACATACAAACACATACATACACATACATACACATACATACACATACAAACACATACATACACATACATAGACGTACATACACCTACATACACATACATACACGTACAGATGCATACAGATACATACAGATACATACAGATACATACAGATACAGATACATACAGATACATGCAGATACATGCAGATACATACAGATACATAGAGATACATAGAGATACATACACATACATACACATACATACACATACATACACATACATACACATACATACACATACATACACACACATACACATACTTTTTCATACACATACATACATACACATACATACACATACATACACATACATACACATACATACACATACATACACATACATACACATACATATTGACATACATACAAATACATACACATACATACACATACATACACATACATACACATACATACACATACATACACATACATACACATACATACACATACATACATACATACCCATACATACACATACATACACATACATACATACATACATACATTACATTACGTTACGTTACTTTGCATTACGTTTCATTACATTACATTAGATACATACATACATACTTACATACAATATATATTTATATATATATATGTTATATATATATAGATATATTTTTATTTATGTATACATATGCGTATATAAAGATATATACACATTATATATTCATAATATTATATATATATATTATGTCTACACCTGTTGACCTTTTGACTACCGCAAGATTATGCAAACATGAATGCTATTTGGAACCGGGCTCCACGGGCTCCACGGGCTCCACTTGAATTCATGAGGACATCCCCACCATGACATTTGGGCTCAGGGTCACAATGGGTGAGCCGCTCGGTGATATGCGGGAAGCAGTGTCTTCTGAAGAATTGTTTCAGGGGTAACTTTCCTGGCCGTGTATAAAAACCCAACTGCCATCCATATCTAGTTCGGAAGGCCGGCAAAGCACAACTCGAACAGAGTGATCCAATCATCCCAAGCCTGAGGGTACAACCTGCCAGGGTAGCACCCCATCCCTTGGGTCCCGTGGGTTGTAAAACTCTGACCTGGTACAGCGACAAAACGCGTCAGCCGGCAATGCCGGTCGCGCGTGATGAAGGTTGGAGTGGCTCGCGTTTTTGTCGGTGCTCGCGAGTGGTTTGGAGATTTTATGATTCAACCGTGCTTGATCATCAAATTTTGACTCTAATATGACTGTGGTAAATCCACTGCCACATATAAATATATTGACATGCCATATTTATACTTATGTATAAATAGATATGAGTGAGAGAGAGAGAGAGAGAACAACAATGCAAATATCCATGAATCCCTCTCCCATTTGGATGGCTAAACCTTTCCCTTTCTGATTTCGAAGGCTTCGGGGAGCTGCTGACGGCACAGATGGCTGCCATCCAACAAGTGCTGTCGTTGAACGAAGCTTTGTGCAGGCGCCGAAAAACGCCCCACCTGGGCCGGATGGGCTGGAAGAGCTACAGTAATACAGGTTACATCAAGTTACAATATCGTTGTCATTACACACATCTATATATATATGTATATATATATATGCATGTGTATATTCTTGCTTGTGATGCATAGTTTAGTGTTGCCGTCATTCATTTTTTATGATGTTTATAGGCTTGGGTCTTGATGGATTGATGGGCTATAGGCCCTTCGCCAGTCGTGAAATGAGATCGTTTGCAAAAAGAAACTTTGGAATATATGTTGTTTATGTGTATCTATAGAAATTTACACATATTTAGATTTATTCAGTCATTTATTTAGATATTATGCGTATATATTTGTTATTTATTTATTTGTTTGTTTATTTATTATTTATTTATTTATTTATTCATGTATTTATGTGTTTTTAAATTGATTTGCATGCATGCAAAACAGGCAGGCTGTTTTGATCCTGTTTTGGTGTCTTTCTTGGAGTTCTGAGGTATAGATCGTCTCAGATTTCCGATGTTTTTCTGACCATCTTCACACCGCCATTGACACAAACTAGTTTCGATCGAGCAGTCAGATGCACCGACGTGACAGGAAGTTTGAGAATCCTGAAAAGCAGAAAGTGCACTGGACGAGGCCGTCGCGCTTTCTGATCCAAGGTTCCTATAAATTATTCATTGGTCAAAACCTATGACCCAGGAGACTGCAGATGTTTGTAATCTTGAATCACGATTATGCTGACCTTTTTCCGTAATGTCAACCCCGGATGACAAACAATCGTATGATTCATAGCGGGGCCCACCGTCAAAAGTGTGAATTTCCCTTCAAAGTGGACATCCCCAAATGAGCCAACCAGGGTGTTTCTTAATCTGCAGGCAACGTTAGATGCAATGTGGTGCCCCCCCCAATCCCATTACTGTAACTATAGATATCTATAGATATATCTACCAAGAGTCCTAGCTATAGAGTTATAAACCCACTTAGCATCACTTAGCTACCTTGGGGCACCATCTTGTAACCATTCTTAACCATAATTAATAGCCCGCAGGGATTCAACCCCTTTTTTCAGCCTGTGGGAAGTGATTGCCTTCTCTTGCCAGTTGGGCAGAGCAGTCTTTCTTTCCTCTCCAGTGGCTGTTTTTTTCACCTGATGCACAGCTATATTTATTTGTAGAAACATTATTTGAAGGAACATTATTTGTCAAGGGGCCAGGGTGCAGTGCCATTTAAGATCAGAAAGCAGATCCGAAACAGCAATTCAACCATCAATTGTCATTATGAATAGCATTGAATAGCCACAAATAGCCATAGCCACTGTGAAATATGTATATTAACCCATTTAACCACCATCAAAACTGTGTTTTCTATTGTTTTCTACCTTTTATCCACATGTTTTGCTCAAGTTTACACCCTAACCACCCGTCAGGACCGGCATCAACAGCAGCCCCGCCCTGTCGGAGCCCTTGCTGCCGCACGGCCAATCCTCGCCGAACTTGTCGCTGGACCGCCTGGGCGGGCAAAATCGTCCCGCGGATGCTGAAGTCGAATCCAGTTATATCATGTTAATATGACTATATATATATATATGTGTGTGTGTTTAATATTACATATGAATAATTATAGTTAGCTATTAGTATACTATATATGATATTTTTAATATCTGTATATATGGAATATATATATATATATTTGAAATATAGTTAACATATAGGTAACTATATAGTATATAATATATGTATGTGTTTATATTTGCAGCACACACAAACAAAAATATATAACTATACATGAATCTGGAGAGAAATATCACATAATATATATATATATTATGTAAACTACTACATTGAAATTAGTGAGAATGAGTTTTTCCCTTTGTTGTGGATGATTAAGTTTCTATTTTATCTCAAGTAAAACCCAGTTCTGTGCAGAATCATCCTGAAGTAGATAGACTATGAGTTGTTCAATAGCTATTCACGTGCTGCGAGTTGCTTTTGGTGAAATTTCATGAGATTTCCATATTTCATCTATTCCAGACTCCAGCATGACAACAACACACATGGGTCAATGCGGCATACATCCTGTGATTAAATAATATTAGATAGTACCTGGGTTACCTAAGTCTTTGAGGCATTTGGATGCATTTGGTGTGTTAGTCCAAATCAAAAATTCACCCTTGTGAAGGCGATGGGGAGAGACAGAGAGAGAGAGAGTATATAATGATAGTAATAATCATAATGATAATGTTGGTAAAGCAATAGTATACCATCCTCAAATTTACCATAAACGGATGGTATACAGATGTATACAGTATAAACCATCCCCAAATGCTATCTTTTTGGGGGGGGCTTTACCAGATTAATATGGTTGTGTGGTCAACTAGATCTGCTTCAAGTGACGGTTTTCTCCTAGTTTTTTTAAATCAACCATCCCTGTGAGCGACTGGCCAGCCATGATTCCCTAGACTGTGGACGCTTCCGAAGTGCCCAACCATGGCCAGAAAAATCAGGAAATGACGTCGCAACTTGATAGAAATGATCAGAGATAGAAATGCGCTAACATGGGGTGGGAATTCGTAGTCTGCCCAAATCCTCCCAGTTCTTCCCAAGGTTTTTATCATATTTTCTCTGACCTGCAGGATGCTAACAAACGACCTGATGTGGAGCAAGCTGAATCCAGGCACGTTCATGGCTGGAAATTGGAACTGTCGTGGCATTTTTCTAGGCCGAATCTTGGTTTATGCAGTTCATGGATTTGTTGTGTTAATGGATGTATTCCATAGGAATTTCAGCAGCCAAAATGGTGTGAAATGGCATTAAATTCTCAAAGATTGGCATTTTTGGCCCAACCTTTTCTTGAGTAAGAAGAGAGTTACGATATCAACAACAGATACAACAGCATGTTCAGTGGATTAAACCTTTGCCAGTGGTGCTGGTTAGGTGTTTCGGACATTTATTGAGAAAAATCTGGCACTCATATAGTGGATCAGCACCAACATTTTTGCTACGAGCAGGTTGGTATGTAGTAAGAACAGGCTTGATGCACAAAGAAACACGTGCCGGAGCATGCAAACAGCACGCAAACAGCATTCCACATTCACCGTGGGTATCCAATGGTCACTGACCTTCGCTGACAATCACTGATATTAGGACGCAGATCCCACAGATTCTCATTGATTGTCAGTGATCATAGTTTCTCTTCATCCTAGCCATCCTCATATATTTAATGATTGTATTGCTATTATTGTGAAAAGTGGCTCATCAATAGCAACTGCTCATCATAAAATGTCACAAAATCCTCACAAACGCAACCGGCTCTCGGCGCAACCTGCAGGTCGCCTCTGAGCGCGATCTCCAAGAATTCCCTACGAAACCAGGCCTTGCAGTTTGGCTCACGCTGCAGGCGTGACTTCGGGTCCAGGAAATCCAGGAATGGCAAATGGCTAAGCTGAGGTATACCAGAGAAGACTGGCTAATATGCTTGTACGGTACGTATATAGTTTATATATAGAATTGATTTTTAGATAATTTGTTTTATAGCTGGTTTTATCACCGGTTTATAAGTGCTCAAAAACTCTGGTTTGTAATTATAACTGGTTTATGCTATGGTTACTTTCCTCTATTTACCACTCACCTCTTGGACTGTCAAGTCACTGTGCACCAGTACCATCAGATGTTCAATGCAGATAAATGGTTTCCACACAAGCGTTTTTTCCCCAACCAATGCCACTGGTTCCTGGTTTCAATGTAACATTGAGAAAAGTGGGGCCTAAATTGACGTGCACGCTGGGATGGGGGCCACCGACAAGTATCCAAGCAATTGGATAAGACCACAATTTCCATATGGGTGTGTCAGAAAAATTGCAAGTTTGACATGGAAAATGATGATCAATCACAGGATGCTGGGGTGCCCTACTTTCAGACAAATCGATATACACACAATAGATGAGTAGAACAACCAAAAGCGATCAATGAATAATGGTTGGACATATGAGCCAATGAATTGATGCATTTTTTTAGTTTTCAAGTCCGGGGCTCCCAAGTCCGCGCTTCATGGTATATCATACATGTAGCTGTGGAAAGTTTGCGGCTCCCCAGTTTTGGTCATAAAACAAGGCAGCCGAACAGGGGACAGTACAACCACAGTTCAAGTGAAGCGCGGAATGTATGCGTGTGACAACGCCTGCTTTGAAATCTATATATAGTACTACACACACAATAGAATAGAACTGGATCATTGGAGTGATCCGTCGGGAACTGAATCCCAAAACGTGCAATTAGACAAGATATAAATATATATAAGAAATGACCAGAATATGCATATATATATATATATGGGGCTATGGTGGCCACCAGCTGCGACTTAACTGCGCCCAGGTGCACCACCAAAGCCCCGCAGCTACGTTTACACGGGTCCCGGGGAGGTGTCTTCGTTGATCACCGACCCCCCCGGGACCCCGGTGATCCCCTGCGATAAAATGTTAATAATAATATAAGCAGCCCACGAAGTTTTAAGTCTGTTCAGACGTTCCACATGCACAGACACACGCGCACATATATATATATACTATATATATACATATGCATATTACACATGCATGAACACACACACACACATATATATATATATACATATGTAGATACAGACAGAAAGAGAGAGAGGGGGAGAGAGAGAGAGAGAGAGCGAGTGAGTGAGTCAGTGCAGTTTTCAATATGTAATGGTAATGTAAGTATTTGTCTGCCGTAGTGGACATAGTCGCCATATTCAAAGCCAAATGCAAGTCCTGAAACCTCGGATATACCTTCAAATACCTTCAACTTGACCTTTGATGCTCCATCCAGATATTTACCAACATTTACCAACATTTACTAACATGTGCCAACATATACTCCAGAGTTCAGTTGGAAGCAGGCGAGCAGCCACCAGACTCACCATGGATGTTTGGGGGCCTGGATGGGCCTGGGTCAGAATTGTTAAACCCAAGGCCCCAATGAATTAATGATGCCCCCAGAATCCCCCAGAGAAGTTATTTGAACTGATGTTTTTCGGTTAAGCTATTCATATTTATTTTATAGGGCGTCTATGTCCCTGTTGGGTTCTTAGCATTGGGCGGGAAGGGTCCAAGATCTTTCTGCAGCCTGAATGGTGGCTAGGTGAGTGCAACGTGGGGGGAAAACTGTCATGCAGAAAAGGTCTGAATTGAATCTAAATCCAATTAAATCCATCTGAACCCAGGGGCATGCTTGAAAGCAGCATTCCAAAGAATCAGGATGCCTTGATGGTGTAGAACTTCAAGTTTGCTGGGTGTATAAGTTGACGTTTTTTTGGAACATGTGTTATGTAATACTCATTGAACACGATACCGTATCTATTTGGTGTTCCTATTTTGTTGTTTCAACTTGTTTCAACCGCCCATTCTTGATAGTTGAACACGGTTTAATACGTTTTAACCATGTTGGAGCACCAGTGGATAGCAACCGAGGTGGAACATTCTGGCAACTTCATGCGTTACAACCGACCCATCCTGGCGAACACCAAGGATGTGCGCAGCCTGGCGTACCTTGGATGCTGAACCCGAAACGTCCATAGAAATGCCATGCAAATTTGAGTGAAAAGAAACCTGGAATAAAAATGGCGGTTGACCCAAAAGTGGTGGTGTTTTTGCCTAGATGAATTTGAGGTATCTTGAGGTACTTTGAAATTGACGTGTCTTGGGGGCCAAGGCAGCTACAAAGTGACGAACAAATCCGATTTTCACTTTAAAAAAGTATCTCTTTGAAACGTGATCAGCATCATTCAAAAGGTGCAATGTCAAGGTTTGAGTCGAAATAATGGTGCGTTGGTACATGTTCATTCAGACATGGGACCCATCCTGTGAATGCAATGACTTCCTAGCCATCCTGAGGAAGGGAGTCTTGGACTCGATCAATCAACAGGCGCAGCCAGCCTTGAGATTGGCGTATGGGGGAAGATCCCTGTAGTTCCAAGAATCAAAATGTTGGAGAGATCTACTCTCTGGTACTCATGGCAATGGAAAATCACCCATTTACACATGATTTCTCAAAAATCACAATTTTTAGGGAAATGTCCATTGCCGTTAGCAGAGGGTACGGGCATATATATTTTGAAGATATCAAACCCATTTGTATTTCTTGGAGGCACCTAGAAATGAGTTGGACAACTTGACCTTAGATCTACAGCGGTGTTTCCTCAACTAGGGGTACCGCAAACTGCAAACCAGTGGTTTGCCCATGTTTGCCCGTTAAAAGTGACCAGTTTCAGATGATTCTGAGGTACCGAGAAAGTGGCGCCCCCCCCCCAGTTCCAGGCTGGTTTATGACATACAAACTGTAGATTTATCTACTTTAACATAAACCCACTTTATCATAAACCCACTAGCCATTGGAGTTCTGTTTGCCAACTTAGCCAACATATGAGCAGTGTTCAAACCCCTGTTGGTCGATGATTAGTTGGGAGATTATCCCACAAACTGGAAATTATCATTGCTGATCATAATCCATTATTATAGAATTCCAGTTCTTCACCAATCAGCATAATACGCATGTTTTTACTATTGTGGCAAACTTCTGGTTGTTTTTGGCTATCGGCTGACTCGCCGCCCCAGAAGGCGTGTTATTTTTTGCTGTCGTATACTTCCATGTTGTGGTGGGGGTGGGGTGGGTTTGGGTGGGTTGGGGCTAAGGTTCCTTGGCACTTGCACGCCAACATGATGCTATGTTAGAGATGGGGTGGGGTGGGGTGGGGTGGGGTGGGGCTAATAACGTTCCTTGGCCTTTGCGCACCTACATGATGCTACGTTAGAGATGAGGTGGGGTGGGATCAGATGGGGCTAATAACGTTCCTTGGCACTTGCACACCTACATGATGCTACGTTAGAGATGGGGTGGGGTGGGGTGGAATGGCATGCTACCATAGAAAAAATATGCTGCTACTCTTGCACATGCTGTTCACGTGTGCGAACACAAGTTTGATGTTACGTTCATAGAATGTGTTGCTACGCTTGCACATGTTGTCAACGTGCGCGAACATAAGTTTGATGTTATGTTGATAGAATATGTTGTTACGCTTGCACATACCCAACACAAAAAAC